TGTATGTGAAATGGGGAATGATTTTAAATGTACCCATACTTTTGCTATATTTTAATTACGTATTTTAATATGTATTGAAAAAATAAACGCCTAGCCCCTCGGAAGTATGAAATCAAGTTTCCTTTCTAGAGAAATTTAAGTTAAAAAGAGTAAGTCAATTTTAAAATAAGTATTACATATGACATGGTACAAGGGTGTGCAGATATGATAAACCCCACTAAGGCAACAAAGGAAGTACTCATCATCTTATACAGGCCTATTAAAATTTTAATTTGCTATGCTTTAAGACTATACATCAGAATTACAGAGAAAGCCCATATTATACAAAAACTACACGTAGATTTTTTTTTCAGCAGTCATACAGACTTCTGACACTATTTCTCAAACTTCAGTTATTTGATTATCAACTTTATGAAGTTTGCCATATGTGCGTACTGGTTATTTAATATTTTTCCTCAAATCAACTCACCTTTTTCACTTGAATAAACATATAAGAATGATTTTACAGGTCTTTGGTAAAAGAAAGCCAGTACCACTCAATATATATAATAAAAAAAACTAAATCCATTGCTGTTGAGTCTATTCCAACTCCAGCAACCCTATAGGACAGAGTAGAACTGCCCCATAGGGTTTCCATGGAGTGGACAGTGGATTTAAATGGCTGACCTTTTGGTTACCAGCCAATTCTCTTAACCACTGTGCCACCAGGGCTCCACCATATGTAATAGGAACGGTAAAATAAAATCAGTGAAACAGGACACAATTATTAAAGTCCACCTAGTTGGTTGCCTGCCAAAGGTAAACTCCTCAGCTTGATTCCACATGTTATAAACGGAGAGACGGAACTGTGGGATGGGCGTGAAGTCGAGTTAAGTTGCACAAACCCCATGAGTGGAGACAGAAGTCAGAGCAGGGGTATCTGGAGGACTGGTCTTAGAGCATGGGGTGTGGTCTAGACCTGACCTGGTGGTGAACACAGGGGTGTGCATGTGTGTAAAAACTTGAGCTTACACTCACCAGTTGTACCATATGTATGTTGTTGTTGGGTGCCGCCAAGCTGATTTTCGACTCATAGCAACCCCATGTGACAGAGTAGAACTGCCCCATAGGGTTTTCTAGGCTATAATCTTTAGGGGAGCAGATCACCTATAATCTTCAGGGGAGCAGGTCTTTCTCCCACGAAGCCACTGCATGGGTTCAAACGACCAACATTTCAGTTAGCAGTCAAGTGTTTAACCTTTGCGCCACCAGGGCCCCCATATGTATGTTGTTATTGTTAGGTGCCATCAAGTTGGTTCTGACTCATAGCAACCCTATGTACAACAGAACGAAACACTGCCCAGTCCTGTGCCATCCTCATAATTGTTGTAATGCTTCTGTGTCAATCCATCTTGTTGAGGGTCTTCCTCTTTTTCACTGACCCTCTACTTTACCAAGCATG